TAGACCTCCTCAACCAGACACAGCAGCTAACGTGTAACCAGAACTCTGGCTTGCATGTGGCAGGTTTCATTTTGGGTGTCAAGTTGCCAAAGGGATAGCTGAGGTAGAAATTGAAAATGGGTACAGTTGATGGAAGTCCTCTTTTCCATGGGAAAGGGACTTATTAAGTGGCATATATACATAGAGTACCTTTTTGTGCCAAGCCCCAGTACTAGTAGTTTCCCCAGAGATGTCTCTATCTACAACAGTTTTTTGGTTTTTTCAATATTGCAATATTGAGGATTGAAGCTGGGGCCTTCACACTGAGCTAAATCACCTGCATTTTTTTTTTTTTTTTTTTTTTTTTTTTTTGAGATAGGGTCTTCCTAAGCCACTAAATTCCCCAGTTTTGGCTGGAACTTGCACCCCTCCACTCCAGTCTCAGCCTCTCAGAGTGCTGGGATTACAGGCAGGCATTAGTCTGTCCCTGCCCCCCCAGAATTTTATAGTGTTATTATAGTAGCTTAAAATGGCGTAGTAATCAAAATACCCAGCAATGATGGAAATGGCTAGTTAACTATCATATATCCTTTTGATGGGATATTGTGCAGCTATTAACATTTTTTTTCTATGAAGAACTATAGTGTTTAAAGGAAAAAAATCTAAGGGCCGGGGATATAGCTCAGCAGCACTGTGCCTGCCTGGCAAGTGCAAGGTCCTGAGTTCAATCCCTGGTACCAGAAATAAATAAATAAATAAATAAATAGGAAAAAATCTAGTCTTTAAATGGTAGCCACTTTGAGCAACAAGACTAGCAGTAGATCCAGCCCAGCTGAGGAAATTGGATCTCATTGTCCTCCCGAGCAACTACCAGCCCCTCCATAAATGGACACATCCCCATTCTCACTCCATCGTAGGAAAAAAATAAACTACAATCACAAGCAATAATGGCGGTGAAAGTTCATTCAGTATGGTTATAATCAACATAGATTGGGCCATGTCTGAGTAAGATGTGCCTCAGTCTGTTAAAGGAAATAATAGAATCTTCCCTTAAAAGAAAGAAGAAAAATATTTAGAAACTATAGGTGAACGTGGGAACACTTTTATTAATTGGTTAGGCCAGATTTATTAAGTACATATAGTTATGACCAGATAAAAATAATATGAGTAGGAAAAATTATTGGAGTTTTTCAAATCTCAATGCTAATTGAAGTTAGTTGAGGGAGGAGGGCTAGCTGTAGGTGAGCTTTTTTTTAACCGCATTTTCACTATCATATTTTTCTTTCTCTGTTGCTCTAAAAACTACATACATATTTTGAGAGTATGTACTGTATTTGGTACATATCTTTCTAGATCTTTTTTTTTGCATTTACTTATCCATTCTCTTCCCCCTTCCCACACCCCAACACAAACATGTTCTTTTATTTTTTTAAAAATAAAACTATGTATCTAACCTGGGGAAGAAAAGAAATTCTAAAAGTACTTCTCCAAAATGGCTTGCAAGGGAACAATTCAAAGGTTCCAGTTTTTGCTTTGAATTTTCTGCTACAGATCAGTTTATGATAGAGCTGATGATTGCCTCAGCCTTGGTGTGAAGGATGGGAACAAGGTAGCTGTTGTTCTTACAGCCCTGAAGCATGTATCTGATGATATGAAGACTCACAAGAATCCTGCCCTAAAGGCTCAGAGTGGTCCAGTACGCAGTGGCCCTAAACCATTCTCTGCCCCTAAACCCCAAACCAGCCCATCCCCCAAACCAGCCACAAAGAAGGAACCAGCTCTACTTGAACTGGAGGGCAAGAAGTGGAGAGTGGTGAGTTAAAAACACCTGGGCCTGAGGAAGAAGGCGTGGGAACAAGGGATTCTAACAGCTCAGACAAATAAGTGCAGGGTTCTGGCTTAAAGTGCAAGAAAAAATGTTAGGGATAACTTGTAATTTCTGTTGGTTTGTGCTTTGTGATAAGAATCCAGTTGTGTCTTTGACAGGAAAACCAGGAGAATGTTTCCAACCTGGTGATTGATAACACAGAGTTGAAACAGGTGGCTTATGTATTCAAGTGTGTCAACACAACATTGCAAATCAAGGGCAAAATTAACTCCATTATAGTAGGTAAGCCTTTGTTGCCATCCTCAGCAGGTTCTGTCCCAAAGCCTGAGAGGGCTAGAGCCATCTTCCTAAAGATTCTTAAATATTACTCTTTGAAAGTCACACTGTTAACTTGTTTCCTTTCTTCTCCTAGATAACTGTAAGAAACTTGGTCTGGTATTCGATGATGTCGTGGGCATTGTGGAGATAATCAATAGTAGAGATGTCAAAGTTCAGGTAACTTGATATCTTGGCTCCTTCTTTTTGTCCCTAAGGAATTGAAAGAGACAGAGCAGACCCGCAGATGTTACTTTGGTAGAAATCTGATTCTACAAAGTCTGTAAGATGAGCTGCTTTGGATGTGGCGGAGGAGGACTTGGTTCTTTAAGGGAACTCTTTCCAGCACTCAATCCCAACCTGCCCCCAGTATTCAGTATCTGTTGTGTACCTGGGAAATTTTTGTGTTGAATCATGTGAAACAGTGAAAGGTTTCCCCACAACTTACTGTCTTCCCCCACCTGCTGGGACTCAATTTTCTTGGTTTTCTCTGCAGGTAATGGGTAAAGTGCCAACCATTTCCATTAACAAAACAGATGGCTGCCACGTTTACCTGAGCAAGAATTCCCTGGATTGTGAGATAGTCAGTGCCAAATCATCTGAGATGAATGTCCTCATCCCCACAGAAGGTGGCGATTTCGTAAGTTTCTTCATTTCTTGCATTGGAAAAAGCTATTTGGTGCAGAGTAGGTAAAAGCTAATAATGCATGCAAAAAGCAAAAGTACTGTACACAGAAGCAAGGTAGTCTCATGTACTGGAGTGCCACAGGAGAATGATTTGCCTCTTAAGTTGAGCTTAGGGTAGCAAAACAAAAGGAGAGTCTCAGCCAGGTCTGGAAGTGGTACACACCTGTAATTCTAGCACTCAGGAAGCTGAGGCAGGATTGTGAGTTTAGGCCAGCACAGGCCAGTTTGAGGCCAGCCTGAGTAACTCAGCAGAACCCTGTCTCAAAAAACCAAACACCATCAAAAAGGTACAAAAGTCCCAGCACTCTGCAAAGCTGACACTGTAAAACTGCATGGTCCCCATTAGCAATCTGCCAAGATCACAGATCACATGGGCTCAGTTTGTCTCCATCTTACCCTGCTGGCTCGCAGGAAATAAGCATTGAAAGAAATATAGTGCCCCAACTTACTTTTTAGCCCAGATTTCAACCTATTATCTCTTCTTTGTTTACAGAATGAGTTCCCAGTTCCTGAGCAGTTCAAGACCCTATGGAATGGGCAGAAGTTGGTCACCACAGTGACAGAAATTGCGGGATAAGCCAAGTGCCAGTGGGTTCTTTGCAGTCTCCCTTCACACCATGGGATAAATCTATCGAGATGATTCTTTTCTAGATTTCCTCTACCTTTCTGCTCTTAAACTGCTTCTCTGCTTTGAGAAGCCCAGCTACCTGCCTTCACTGAAATATACCTCAGGCTGAGATTTGGGGTGGGATCGCAGGTCAGCTGATCTTCTGCAGGAAGGTGGCTCTTCTCCACATCAGCACAGCCATACCACCAGTCTGCCCCTAAGGAACTGCAGACCTGGACTGGTCCATTCTAGCTTTCAGCTTTTGGGGGTTATTCTACCAACAGACAGTCCTTTGGGAAGAGTAAAAGAGTCCCAGGGACTGACAGATTACACTGTGCATACTCACCTTTTTCTAACAAGGAGCATGGAGGTAGTAGAAGCTAGTATGATTCCAGGTGGTTGTAACCAAATTAATTTTTCACGATTAACATGTGAAGCAAGGGTTATACTGGATCAAAGGTTGAGGCTTGGCCATCTAGCATTCCAAGCAAACTTGTTTCTTACATGCATTCCTTCCTTAATTCTGCATTCCATCCTGGGTCTGACTCAATCTTGAGATTGCTGGTACTACCACAGCTGCAGTAGCAGTGCCCTTTATCTAGGGCAGTTCAGAGTCTTGGACCCTCCTCTGGGATTCCTACCCAACACCTTCCAACAGAGGTGACTTTAGGAAAGGGAGAAAAAGAGAACATGCCATTCCAAGGAATCCAGCATTCCTTCTCCTCCCTGCTAGGTGCCTGTCACCCATCTTTACTGCCTCCTTTTGCCTGTCATGTTCAATGGCTTAGGCTTCTGTCCAGGCATCTGAACAGAGGACTAAACCCATCACTGCAGGCTGGTTTTGGGTCTTGATTTATGTAAGAACCATGTTCAGCATTGCTAATGTTTCAGTTTTCCCCTGTAGGACACACTTACCAAAATATGCAACCTTTTTTGGTGGGAAGAGAGATTGTCCTGTGACTTTTACCCATTTCCTGAGGCCTGTGGAAATAAACCTTTATGTACTTAAAATTATACAGAAAATAGAATAAAGTTAATACCAAACTTGTTCAGTTATCTACCTATTTGCTATACAACAGTGTAAAGACATTGAAAAGAAAAAATGACACCAAGGATAAGAAACTATTCTTTATTTCAGACAATTTCATAAAATTATTTTCATACCCATCTCCACGTTCTTGCCCTGAAACCACACCTTTTAGTTTAAGAATAAGACTTGGGAGATAAAAAGGAAAACCCGGGCCAGGGATTTAGCTCAGTGGTTTCACTGCCTGCTGTGCAAGTGCAAGGACCCAAGTTTGATCCCCAGTACCAAAAAAAGAAAAGAAAACCCATAAACGGTAAACTGCAGTAGTTTCTTCTTTTTTTTTTTTGGTACCGGGGATCGAGCTTGGGAGCTTGCACTTGCAAGGCAGGCAGTGGAACCACTGAGCTTAAATCCCCAGCCTCAACTGCAGTACTTTCATGAAAACAGCTCAGTCATTTCTCCAAACTGGCACTCTACAGAAGTCATCCAAAATGTATTGATACGTCTTCAAGTGGGAGCTAAGACTTCCAAGCTTAAGAAAGGTAAGAAGTGGTAGATTGATGGTTGGTTTTTGGTACTAACCATAAAGAACTCTCAGTCCTTAGTGTAATGTGGGTTGGTTTCCAAGAAGTGAAAGAAGTAAATACGGAATAATCTTAAAGCTTTTTTTTTTTTTTTTTGAGGTACTAGGAATTGAACCCAGGGCCTTGTGTGTCCTAGGAAAGCACTTACCACTGAGCTAAATCCCCAACTCTATATTCTGAGACAAGGTCCTGTTAATTGTCCCAGCTGGACTCAACTTACAGTCTTCCTGCCTCAAGCTTCCCAAGTAGCTGGGATTACATGTGTGTAGCACTGGACCTGCCTCTTCAAGTGTTTTTTTCTCACAGAACATTTATCAACATCAGTTTGGAAGATGCTGGTAAGTATGGTTTTGGGGACAGAAGTTAGAAAGCCTGGCCTCTTTGCACTGTTCCCCTATTTCTCTGCTAAAGCCAGCCAGTGATTAGCATCCAGGCCACTAGGCCCATAGTAAGGATAGATTAATCAAGGATGGAGTGGGAAGAACCAGCTGCCTCGTTTTCATTCCTGCATCTGTTTCTATCACCACCTACTCCCCACTGTCTTGAATGATGCAAAATGTATGTTTCTGTTCTGAAGCAACCCCACTGAGTACTACTTCCCCTCTTTTGTAACAGCAACTAATTCATCACTACCTGAGGAGACAAAAATGAGTTCTGGAGGGGCAGGATGGTAGGTTAGTGTAATCTGTCGACCAATTGCTAAGATACCACACAAGGCAACATGACTCAAGAAAGCAGCCTTAAATTATGCAGAAACTCACAAGCAATACCTTTCTGAACACTAGTTAAATCTCCACCAGTAACACTGAGATAGTATTTATGTAGCACCTCTGGCCTTGGGCTTGGCCCTCTTTGCCTAGATATTAACTTGCGCTGCTTTTATTTGCTCAGTCTCCTCGGTACTGGCACAATTCTGGCATTGATGTGCAGTGGACTCCCTTTCCTGAGACAGCTTGACCACATCACCAGGTTGTAAAACAATCTCTAGTTATTAACTAATTAAAATTGAATTCAACACCATATGGTGATAGGAGGCCAGCAGAGGATAAGATTCGGATCTTAGATCTTTCCAAGTAGGGCATGTTAGATGATAACAGAAGGAGAGATTAGTTGCAAGCCGATCTGAGCTCAGGATTGGGCAGGAAAACTTCCACATGGCTTGAAAGTTAGGGGCTCCTTGAGCTCTGTTACAACTGGGGGGGCTTCATTCAAGGAAGGGTATGATGTGGGCATAAAACCATGCTTGAGACAGCTGAAGATGGTCCCCTTCTGTACCCAGAAACACTAGCTTTCCAGCTTTGTCCATTTCCTTTAGCCCAAGGTGGTCCTACAGAGAAAGGGCACAATTAATCAAAGTTTAATGAAATTTTTAGAGTAAAAAAGTAATGTAATACAATGTTAACTTGAGATATATTCTCAAAATCCAATTTTGTTTATTAGTATCAAAAGAGATGTAGTATTGAAAATGCCAGAAGAGATAACCTTCCCAACTTGGAGGTTGTTCTATACAGTCAGTCTTTTGTTACTGTTTTGCACCCTGTGGTGCTGGGGATCAAACTTACGGCCTCACTTTTACTACTGACTTATCTTTTTACCCCCTAAATTCAGCTTTGTCCGCAGATAGGCAACCCACAGATAAAACTGAAAATGTCAGAGTGGGAAAAGCCAAAGTAGGACTGATCAAAGTCAGGAGAAAACTAGATAATAATGTTTTAAGGTAAGACATAGCCAGTCCTTAGATAACAAACTTGGGACACTTCCACATCCTCCAGTTGAAAATGTCACAGGCTGGGTACCACAGAACCACCTCTGGTTGGGAAAATGACCAGCTATGGCAGGGCCAAAAATGGTGCTTCTGCCGTGACTACCGCCAGTTTGAGTTTCACAATAAGGATGTTCTTAGCTGTAATTTCCTAAACTCTTTATCAGAAACAAGCTTCTCCTTTTTCCTTAAGCCAGGCCACCAAATGCAAGAGAAAAATCTGAGAGGAGAAAATGACCTCTGGAATTAGGTGGAGGAACTCTAGTGGAAGGTGACTGATTCAGTGATATCCTTGTGCATTTGTGAAACAGTCTATCTCCAATTTGAATTTCTTTGGGTTTACCAGGCCCGTAACAGTGGTGAAATACTGCCACTTCTTGAGAAACAGGACCTGCTGCTAAAGAAAATTCACAATACATTCTGTTCACCTTCCTGCAGGAGAAACTCCCTTTTGTCAACACCAAATTTACTGATCTATTTGTGCTGGGGATTGAAACCAGCATGCTAACCAACCACCACTGAGCTACACCCCCACCCCACCAATGTCTAATTTAAAAGCAGAACTTCTCCATCTCTGACTGTTATAAAGCAGTACTCTCTTGTATGTTTTCATTCATATGGGGCTTTTTAGATTTGTGGCAAACAACCTCCAAACCAACAGCAAAGTTCGAACTTTTCTTTAAAAGGAAAACCTTAGAGATGATGTTTCCCTTGTTTTTCATGAAAGTCAAAAGATACTGTGGTCTTTCCTTAGGATATGGTAAATTTCTCTAAACCAGAGCCTGAGCCCAACAGGCCTTGCCCACATCAGACATGAATGAGGGGGCTCATGAGCCCTAAATACTCTCGAGTGGACAGCGCAGGGCTCTTACACCTGAGAACCCAGCACCATCAGAAACCAAGAGCTGAATGAGACAGCACCAACCTCCCAAGGCAAATCTCTCCCAGTTACCTTTGTGTACAGTGTGGTCTCCTGTAGGGGAATAGTTTCCTTGGCTTGACCACTTCTGTAAAATCCAAACCACTGCAGGAGATGAGGAAGTAAAGTCAGGTCATGCCAGAGACACCCAGCATACAATGCCAAACTGATTTGAAACTGGATTGTACCTAAGACTACCAACAAAATGAACATCATAAAGCTATGTATAGCAAGGGAGAAGGAAAAATGGGAACCAAGTATGGTGGTACATGTCTAATACCAGCACTTCGGAAGGCTGAGGCACAACAGTCACCATGAATTCAAGGCCAGCCTGGACAGACCCCCGCCTGCCTTCCCCCCTAAAAAGGAAGAATGGATAAGGGCATTGTCTTTTTTTTTTAAGGATATATCTTGACTCACTTTGATTTCAAAGCCAATCCTAGCTTGGTGTGGTGCACCCCTGTAATCCCAGCACTCTGGAATCTGAGGCAAGAGGATCTCCATGAGGTCAAGGCCAGCCTGGGCTACACAGTGAGTGCAAGGCAGCCTGAACCACTTAGCAAGACCCCCATCTCAAAAACATCAAAACACAAAAAACAAAACAAAAATAAAAGCCAATCCTGAAGGATAAGTTAAATCTTTCCAAAGAGCTTTCCATTTCTCCAAAAGTTCTGCTTCCTTTACTGTGCATTGACTCGGAAAATCCCTGTGCTGAACTCGAGCCATTCAAAGGTGAACATATAATGATTTTTCCCAAGAAACTTTTAGCCGAGCAGGCACAGAAACAATTCATTGTTTACCACAGGGTCAGCAAACTTTTCCGTAAAGGCCAGATACAAAATATTTTAGGCTGTAAGGGCCATACGGTTGCAACTACCACTGTAACACAAAAGCAGCTCCAGGGCTGGGGATTTAGCTCAGTGGTTCCACTGCCGGCCTCAAAAGCGCAAGACCCGAGTTCAATCCCCAGTACCAAAAACAAAAAGCAGCTCCAGACAATACATAAAACCAGTATGACAGGCATGTGAGTGCACACCTTTAATACCAGCACTCTGGAAAGCTAAGGCAGGAGGACTTCGTTAAGTACAGTCCGGGGAATTTAGCAAGACCCTGTCTCAAAAAAATAGGGCAGGGTAAGTAGCTCAGTGCGAAGGCCACAGGTTTAATCCCGATTACTGCAAAAGTAAAAACATTTCCCTGCCCCAGAAAAAAATGTGTTTATGATCATATTCCAGTGAAACTTCATTTATGGATGTGGTGGCAGGCAGCGGCACCACTGAGCTAAATCCCCGATGTGGAAATTGGAGTTTCACATAATTTTCACATCATAAAATATTCTTTGATTTTTTTTCAACCATTTAAATATGTAAAAATTCTTAGTTCACAAGCTATTCAAAAGCTCACAGGTTGCCAGGCCCTGGTGTTCTGACAATGTGAGGGGGACTTTCATAGAAGCTGGTGATTCTATAAAAATGGGACCTGGCCGGGGATGTAGCTCAGTGATGCTGTGCCTGCCTGGCAAGTGCAAGGTCCTGACTTAGATCCCTGGTTCCGCCAAAAAAAACAAACGAAGAAGCCAAACAGGAAAGGGCTCACAGTATAAAAAGGGAGCAAATTCTGTTTGGAAAAAGGGTGGCATCTAGAGAAAGTGTCATTTGTGTCTGACAGATAAATATCAATCTGTCAGGTGGAGAAGCCAGGGAAAGGCATTCTGGAGATGAAAACACATGAACAGGAACATGCAAGAGAAAGCAAACACCAAGCTTGGGACATGTCTAGTACTATCCTATGGCTTGATCAAAGAGTGTATGAAGTGATAGTGAGGGGAGATGAAGCTGGAAGGACCAAAGGGAGGTGGAAGCCAAATCAAGCAGACCTAGCATGCCAAGCTGAGGAATTTACAGACTTTGTGCCAGTGATTCTGAACCTTTTTGGGTCCTAGAGATTTTTTTTTTTTTTTTTGGTACTGGGGATCGAACTCGGGACCTTGCGCTTGCAAGGCAGGCAGAGCGGTACCACTGAGCTAAATCCTTGGCCAAGAGACTTTTGAAATAGGGTTAAAATTATAGGTCCTCCCCTCAGAGAATATAATTACATACTTTTACATGTAATTTTGGGATGGAACTGGGGGATTACATCCAATTCAGTGTCCCATTTATGGATCTCAGAACCCCTGTTCTGTACAGAAACTGGCACATGAGACTGAAGGTTTTTGCCTGGCAGGCAGCTGTATGATAGTGCCACTGACTCCTGCAGTCTCCTGGCCTGATATGGTCTAAGCAGTCTCTCACCTCAGAGTCTACAGGATCCACAATGCTATCATTGAGGAATTTCACCATCACGAACTTCTTCAGGCCCATCAAGTTTTTCTTGTAGGACTCATTGACACTCTGGAAGAAAGGCCAGCACCACCTCAGGATTATTATCCTCAGGTTCCAGCAGGGGGATCAAAGCCTCTGTGTTCTGGTCTCCTCAGTCCTGGGCATCCATTCCAGCTTCCTTCAGCAGCTTTTCGGACCATTGTATCTGACATGCCACCAACCATGGCAAAATGTGCCACCATAAATCTTTCCACACTCCACAGATATCTACCATGTAGGTTAAAGGCTTCTTGCCAGAGGAAGCCAGAGGAAAATAAATAAACTGCAAATTCTGGGTGGTTCTGCAATACTCTTCTATATTGTTTCCTGGTTTGGTTTAATTTTTTTCTCCTTCAAACACTTTAAAAAACATCAAAAAGCCCATCCAGATAAGCTGAATACAATGAGCCATCCAGCTTACCAGAACATCCCCAAACCATGCCCATGTCTGCAACACACACAGTGCCCTCTGCAGTATCTCTTCTAGTTAAGTCTCTCTCCAGAGAAAATCCGTCCCATGGGCCCACCAGGAAGGCTTCCCTCACGAAGGTAGCCAGCACTCTGCAGATGGGAGAGATTTCAGGGAGGAAGGCCAAATGAACTCCAGTATCCTTAAAACCAGCTGAATCTCATAAGCACTGCCTCCTGAAACTGAAATTTCTGGCTCCTGACTTCTGCCCAGGACAGCCTGGGTAAATGGTCACTGCTAACTTGTTCTTGATGTCCTAATAGAAAAATGAATGCTGAACTATGGGAGCCTGGTTGACAACTTACCCTTTCCTGATTTATATCTGCCAAGAAAATGCTGTGGTTGCGGTACACATCTTCCTTTATGGGATCATGCCAGTATTCTGCTTGCACCAGGCTGCAGGGAGAAAAGGATAAGGTGATCAAGGTGCCTATCAGTCTGAACACTTGGGGCATGCCCCAGTGCACAGGCCACCACGAGGCCTTGCCCTCTAATAGGAAGAAGGCGATGCCTCCCTTCTCTGAGCACCCACACTCCACTCTTGAGTGCGTCCTTATCTTCCCCTCTAATAAATTCTTCTCATGTCTTTTACTGACATGTCCTGAAAATTATTTTTCCATGATGCAAGTCAGTGAGCCTGCAAACTTATTTTAAAAGAGTCAGATAGGTGCCTTATTTCAGCCTCGGGGACCTTACAGACCCAACCTTGTGACATTTATCTTGGCAACCACAAACAGACCCAAAAAGAGGAGACTAGAGATCTCAACTTTGGTTTGGGAAATTCAGCCAAAAGGTATTTAGTTATTTCTTTCTTTGCCATTTTCCCCCAGTCCTTTGGCGCTCTGGAGCGTAGTTTTTCTCTGAAGCATAGTTTTTTCCCAACCCCTTTGCCCCTGAAGCATAGTTTATCTTTTTCTCTCTTTCTCCAGTAAGAGATTCCTAAGCCCCTAGAAAATGAGTGCTTGTATTTAAAAGCATGGAAGACAAGAGGCACCTCTGACCAGAAACAGGAAGAGGTTCAGGAGGCATTCTCCAAGACCAGTAGCAGCCTCAGTGCGTATTCCCATAGGTTGGTACCACACCCCATCCCGGAGTTAGATGGGACCCTTAAAAATCTTGCTCTTTCAAGGAGACAAAAAATAAGGATGAAGCCCCCATCCAGGGTCTCAAGCAAAGTTTTTCATGCAACCAGCATGGGGAACCCAAAACTGAGACACAGTGGAGAGAACCGGCCTCCAGGTCACACTAGAGAAAGCCATCTCCAAACGCATACACACCGGTGCAGACCTCAACATATTTAGTTTGAGGGAGTTTCTTTAAACTGCTCTTTTGATCACTCTCACTCCACCAGATGTCACAGTTCCCTCTTTGGGGTGGCTGGGGTCATGTCCTTAGCCGTGCAGAGTGAAGTGGTCAATCAGGTGATAGCTGATGCTATCCACGGGACATGGTGAAGTCTATGGACTCAGACCAAGAAGAAGTCCATTGGTTTGCTTTTTTACTTCCTCTCTCGCCTAGGAAAACAATAATCCCCTCCTTGTGACTTCTTTCTCATTCAGGCTTTCATCTATCAGAAAACGCAAACTTCTAATTTTTTTTTCCTCTGATATTAGTTACCAAGGACAGAGGGAACACCACATGGGGAGGGGGAGGGAAACACATGGCCTCCGTTTTCCTTGATGTGATTTGTACTTGTTAAGTAAAATTTCAACTTTTCAAACTCTATGAATTCCTTGTGTGTGTGCTATAGTTCCCTACATATAAGATCTTTAGGGTAAGGTTTCTTTATTTTTTTGGCACCCGGGATCGAACTCCAGACCTTGTGCTTTCAAGGCAGGCTTTGGAACCACTGAGCTAAATCCCTGGCCCCAGGGTAAAGTTTTGAGTAAAGCCCAGCTATTGTGTACAACTTCTTTTCCTGTTTCCCTTGTCTGTTGTTAGAATAGCTATGTTCCAGAAACAAGGACATTTGTTCTAAACATGACAGAAAACAGAAGAGCTGCTCTCTTGGGCAGTTCTGATGCTGGGTTGCCAACTGTAACATGTCTCCTTTCTCTGAGCACTTGCGTCCTATATCTATCTCTAATAAATTCTTATGTCTCTTCAAAAAAAAAATAAAAGGAAGAAAGACTTCTATCTATAAACAGTTTACAAAACATGTGAGGCCCTGTGTTTGATCCTCAGTACAGGGTAGGGTTGGGGGGCAACAGCACCAGATGCTGAGAATTCAGGAGCACTGAACACAAACACCGTTCACAGAGGTGACCAATCACCACTTAACACAAACAGTGTAAGGATATGAATACTAGGCCAGGTACCTGGCAACCCATAATTGCAGCGGAGAGGCCTAATAGCTGACAATGAAAGACTGAAGATAGTCGTCATCAGGCACCTTTTCACATGAGAAGGAAAAGCTAAGAAGGGGAGGAAAGAAGAATGAGGGATATTTTGTTTTGTAAGAGGCTTGGTGGCCGTGGGATAGCCATGTGCTGGAGGATGGTCAGAGGCTGGGTATGCTCAGAGGTGGGTGCCGGGAGGAAAGGTTCTTCAGGAGGCACACAGGGAAGAAACAGTTTGCACTCTCATCGTCTCATGTACCACTGAAGGGCAGCTTTGGAGAGGCTCAGTAACACTCCCTAAGTTACACAGCTGCAGTGAAGGTAAGATATGAGCTTGAACCACAGTCCACACACTTGTCAGTGGGCGACACTGAAGCAGTAGGAAAGGACAGCTGCTCAACCCACAGGCCATGGCCACACCTGAGGTCTGCTCTAAGCCATGTGGCTTAGAGAGAACAATATTGCTTATATAGTACCTCCCATTTACCAGACCTATTCTAAGCACTTTACTGATACAAACCTATTTAATCCTCATATGATTCCATGAGGCAGATTCTATTATCATCCAAATGTTTGCAAACCAGGCAATGCCACTCAGAGTGAGAGCAAGATTAAGGAGCTTACCAAGGTCATACTGCAGATAGACACAGAGCGAGAAGAGGATCCAGGCAGCCTAGCTCCAGTTCTTTACCAGTACACTGCACTGCCTCTGCTATATGCAGGGTGTAGACAGTGCTGTCATGTGTCCCACAGAACTGGGTTGGAATCAAAAATATTTTGCCTCTGTGAGCCTGTAAAAATTAATACATGCCAGCTATCAGTAGAGGGTGCAGTTTACAGGGGAACTGCTGTGCAAGGGCCCAGTTTGAGAGGTAAGGGCCCAAAGGAGAGCAAAAGTGCACAGGAAATGCTGAGGTGACATCAAAACACTCAAGGAATTCTAACTGAAATCCCAAGATTTTTTTCTTTTTGGCACTTCTGGGGACTGAACTCAGAGCCTTGTATATGATAGGCAAGTGCTCTACCACTGAGCTATACACACCCCTAGCCTTCCAGATTATTTGTAATGGAATCCGATAAACTATTTCTTTTTTTTTTTTTTTGATACTGGGGATCAAACTCAGGGCCTTGCACTTGCCAGGCAGGTGCAGCACCACTGAGCTACATCCCTGATCCTGATAAACTACTTCTAAAAGCCCCAAAACTGCCAATATTTGAAGTTAGATAAAAGTTGCTACAACAAGTAAAACAATGTAGACAAATACAATGATGGGGCAGTGATAGGCAAATACAGTGGACCCTCAAGTTATGACCAGCCTTACATATGAACAACTTGGGTTACAATGGGAATTTTAGTTTTAACTTACAACCAAAGTCTTGAGTTACAACCCAAACACTTGCTGCTTATGCAGTTGTAAACAAAGACTCACAATACCAGAAAGTGTATTAGCAAGTGTATTAGAAAGTGTATTAGTAAACTTCAGTCTGAACCCAAACGCAAGTGTTTGTGGACGTGAATTCAGTCAGTGCTTTATATAATTGCTACAATTACTGCTATCAAAATGGCCCCCAAAAAAGCTAGAAAAGAAGGAAGGGAAGGACAGTAGAGAAAACAATCACAACAGAAAAGAAAGGCACTGTGGAGAAATATGAGAGTGGCACTCACGTGACTGATCTCACTAATATGTACAGCATGCCAAAACCCACCATCTCAGCACTGCCCCCCAGCACCGAGGAGGTGAGCAGTGCTCTCCCCTCCTCCCACCTGTGGCTGTGCCAAGCCAGTACCTGGATCCACACTGCAGAGGCGCAGGGGGTCATAAAGGACATTGTTCTGAGCTCCAGAAGATAGAACAGAAGTGAACAACAGAAAGAGGGCCTCTCTGAGGCTCCTTGATGAAAACTGAAGCCCACTGGGAAAGTGAAGAAAATTCTTCAACAAAAGCACACCAGACCACGGTAGCTGGTAAGTTGAAGGGATAACCACCGCCCAACAGAACCTAGACTATCTTCAGGGGAAAGGCAGATGGAACCTACAGTAGAGCCTTGCAGAGTTCAACCCAGCAGGAGGTCAGGGAGCTCAATTTGGGCCTTGCAGCTAGAAATCAGCCTGAATCTCAGAGGACTGCTGCAAGCTTGCTGAGACTCATTGATTCAGATCTGCACACTGCTGCCCATGTTGTCTATTGTGGCAGCAGAGATATACCCTGAAGGAGGCCCTTTATTTTTATTTTTTATTGTTAAAGTTATTTTTTTCTAAATCTATTTTTTCTTTATTCTTCATTTTTTCTTTCCTCTCTCTCTCTCTCACCTCGTACTTCATCTCTCTCCCTTTTTGTTCATGTTACTGTCCTAATTCAGATTTCTTTTTTCTTTTTCTTTTCTTCTCTCGTTTTCCTTCTCTCAATTGTCATTAGTTTTAAAGGAAAGTGAATAGAGTTTCTAGGTTTCCTATTGCTGTCAGGTTGTTCTGTTCTTGTCTTTCTTTCATTTTGTCTTTTCCTCTTGTCTTCAACAGTTTCCTAGAGTTTGTGTGATCTTCCTGTGTCCTCTGGCCTCACTTTTAACCTTTCCCTATCCTTGTACCTATCTATCCCTCCCTCCCCAACTCCTTCTAAGCTCCCATCCTGAAGGGTAAAGTTGTTATATTGAAGAGTTTATTTACCATAAACATATTTTGGGCTGGTCCTCAATTTTTACTTAATTCACATGGTTAAAGGTGATAGATTAAAAACTACCACAAACTGTCATTTTCTAAGCTGTGCTTGATGCTATTGTTGCTACTGATTGTATCACTTGGGCTAAGGTGCTGTGATGATTGATCTAATCAGTTGTCCTTCCTGGTATACTGAAAACGAGATTGCCTAAGAGTCTTTAGAGACTCAAAACCTAAAGACGAACTATATCTGGAAGACACCTCTGAGAAGCAATCATTCTGTAAGGGTTCTAAATACAAGCAACAAAGATACTTACAATAAGCAATATTGAAGTATCAACCCAGGAATTAAACCAAAAACAGTACCAACAACAAAAATAGAAATGAGAAGACACCTAAGC